TTTTATTGCTTTTTTTACAGAGAGGAAGGGAGAGAGATAGAGAGTTAGAAACATCAATGAGAGAGAAATATCGATCAGCTGCCTCCTGCACACCTCCTACTGGGGATGTGCCCGCAACCAAGGTACATGCCCTTGACCGGAATCGAACCCAAGACCCTTCAGTCCACAGGCCAACGCTCTATCCACTGAGCCAAACCAGTCAGGGCGCATTTTTAACTTTTTGAGGAAACTCCATACTGTCTTCCATAGTGGCTGCACCAGTCTGCATTACCACCAGCAGTGTACATACTCATTTCTTATCCTGAAATTTCCTGTTTAACAGAACCCCATCCACGAACCTGCTATAGTTTTTCTCATTCCCATGAGAATTGGGGACAAATAGTCCAGGGTCCTCTTCACGTACTCTTTCTCTACCCTCCCCCCACCCTCCACTAACGTGGACTATCTCCTGTCTACAAAATCTGTCAAGGGCTATGAGGGAATAAAACCTTGATAAAAATGCAGGTATTCTCTGCAGAATATTCTGCCTATTCACTTTTTCCAACAGAACAAGGTTTTGATTTTAATACTAAACTTCAGAGATACTATATTTCTCTGAGTACAGTGAGTTTTATGAAGGAAAAATTTATATCCCCAACACACAATTTAACATTTTAAAAAAGTTTTTTGAACTATTTATTTATTTATTTATTTATTATTTTTTAATCCTCACTTGGGGATATTTTCCATTGATATTCTTTTTTTTTTAATATATTTTATTGATTTTTTACAGAGAGGAAGGGAGAGAGATAGAGAGTTAGAAACATCAATGAGAGAGAAATATCGATCAGCTGCCTCCTGCACACCTCCTACTGGGGATGTGCCCGCAACCAACATTGATATTCTTTAGAAAGGGTGAAAGAGAGAAGGAAAGACAGAGAGATACATAGATGTGAGAGTAACATCGATTGGTTGCCTCCTGCACACACCCCGACCAGGGCCCGGGTCGGGGAGGGTCTTGCAACCAAAGTATAAGCCCTTGACTGGAATTGAACCTGGGCACCTTTGGTCCACAGGCCGACGCTCTGTCCACTGAGCCAAACCAGCTAGGGTTCTTTTTGAACTTTTAAATTGACATATAGTGTACATAGAGAAAAGTGCACAAGTTCTGAGTGTACAGCTAAATGAATTTCTATAAATTGAATGCATGTATGCCACCAGTCCTCAGGTCAAGAAAGAGAATATAACTAGCACTTCAGATGTCCCCTTCTTAGCCACACCCTACCCACCCAGTCCAAATGTAACCTCTATCTTGATGTCATATACCATAAGTTAATTTTGCCTATTTTTAGAACTTGGTAAGTAAAATTGTATAGTTCAATGCAACATTTTAAAACAAAAAACAATGTGCAGCAAGAGTCTTATTTATTCCAAATGCAATTGATAGACCATCAGAACCATCTGCAGATGTTTTGAAATACATGCAAATATTCTTTAGGGGATGTGTATATCTGGTGCTGCTGATTTATAAAGGAGGCATTAGACCATCATATTGAAAGTGAGCCATTCCTGCCATTATGTTTTTGTTGGAAATGCATTTTCATAGTGTACTTCACATGTAGCCCTTGTTTGTGCCTAGTATAAAATGAGTTCCTAAAAAGTTGGAAAAAGTTGGAAGAAACTGTGGAGAAAGAAACAGTTCAAGTGAGAAATAAGAGTTCAGTAAAAAACAAAACAAAACAAAAAAACACACAATGAAAATACTAAAGCCAAAGTACATGTGCACTAACCCCTGTGTACTATAATTCTATACTGGGGAGAAATGTGAAACTAGTTGAGGGGTTGAAATTGATGTATAATGCAATATAAATCTTTGATTTAAAAGGATGGGAAAATAGGTAATTAGTCAAAAATGTAATGATAGAATGCCTGACTTGGGGGAATGGATTATTGATAATAAGTTGGAGACCCCAGTTTTGAACTTTCCTTGAAGATCTATGGTTTGATGAGAGAATCTTATCCTATTTGATTGCTATAGGGAAAATTACAAAGTTCTCCACATGAGATTATTATTGGCTGGTCTCCATCTCTGTATGTGTTGAGGTTTTGTGATATGTAAGGCTTTTACAATTGGGTGGATTAGGTAGGGATGTGATTAGGGCCTTATGTTACAAGGCCTAAAAGCAGTACATAAAATTTTAGGCTTAACCATGAGTTCTCCTGCTCTCACCAGATGTGCTTATCATCCAGCAGGAAAGACTCCCTATGTGGTTAGTTCCCCTATCAGCCAGAGAAGCAGCCCTCCTGATTCTTAATGTATTGGTTTTACTCCCCTGCCAGCCTGCAGAATTACACAAGCCCCATCACATCCTCCTGTGGGAACCAGGAAACACCTCACCCTCTTTTTACTACAAAGCCTGCCTCCCACAGACCCTGCTTATTCACTCTATTCCTGAGTGCAACCCCTGTGTGGCCCTGCATGACGTTTGGTGTCCTCCTTGGCTGGGCTGTGAGTGTACATGACTAATACACTACTGGTGTCAGGTATTAAGCCTCTCATGCTATGTAGGGCCTGGGAATACTAGACGGCCCCTGGGAAGCTGAGGGCCATCTAATGAATGAATAGGAGGTGATCAGAACAGGACTGCATATGGAAATATTAACAGTCATTTAGGAAATCCTGAGAGAAGAATACCAGCAACAAGTCCATTGTGTAGTTTTATGGGATGTGCTGGTCCAGAGCAGGGTTTCTCAACCTTGGAACTATTCGTATTTTGAGCCAGAAAATCTTTTATTGTGGGGGATTGTCCTCTGCATTTAGGATGTCTAAAGGTTTCCCTAACTTCTACCAATTAGATGCCTGTAACACACCTCCTTCTCCAACTTGTGACAATCAAAATTGTCTCTAGATATGGCCAGTTGTCTTCTGAAAAATAAAATCACTTCTAATTGAAAACCACTGGTTCAGAATGATATCTTCCCAATTCAGTATCCTCTGACTTAGGAATGAGGAAAGATGGTCAGTGATGGGTAATGGATAATAAAAAGTAAGAAGGACGGCCCTGGTGAGGTTGAGACGGCCCCGGTGAGGTTGAGACGGCCCCGGTGAGGTTGGGACGGCCCCTGTGAGGCTGGGACAGCCCCGGTGAGGTTGAGACGAAGCCCTGATGGGTGAGATGACCCCGGTGAGGTTGAGATGGCCCCGGTGATGTTGAGACGGCCCCGGTGAGGTCGAATCGGCCCCAGTGAGGTCGAGACGGCACTGGTGAGGTCGAGACGGCCCCAGTGAGGCTGAATCGGACCCAGTGAGGCTGAAACGGCCCCGGTGAGGTTGAGACAGCCCCGGTGAGGTTGAGACGGCCCCTGTGAGGTTAAGGCGGCCCCTGTGAGGCTGAGACGGCCCTTGTGAGGCTGGGACGGCCCCTGTGAGGCTGAGATGGCCCCTGTGAGGCTGAGACGGCCCCTGGGAAGCTGAGAAAAATACCACATGAACTCACTCATTTATGAATAATAAGGACCATTATAGACTGATGAACAAAAATGGATACAGAGGCAGAGCAGCATTGAGCAGAATGTCAAACTACAGTGGGAACCCTG